GTGGTGTCCCTCTCTCTCGCTTGTTCTCTCTGCTTCTTGGATGCCATAGGTGAGCAGCCTCTGGCACACAGCCATCACTGTAACAACTTTAATTCATACCTAAAGATGAGGCCAAGGACCACAGCCCAACCCTGAGACTGTGAGACAAAATACATCTCCCTTCTGAGCTGCTCTCTGGAGCACCTGTCACAGTGATGATGAGCGTAAGCGGCTGTGGGCAACAGGAGTCAGAAAACACTGAGGAGCTAGGGAGGAGGAGACTCAGCACACACCGATCTCTCAAGAGGCCTGAGTTCCATTCCCAGCACCCGCGTCGACAGCCCGGAATCCCAGTTCCGGGGAACCAACGCCTCTGGCCTGTGCTAACACCTGTGCTCAAACACAAACCCACATATATGCACATAATTTAAAACTGGAAGGAAAATACTGTGAGTTGAAGGATAATGTCACCTCTTCATTCCAGTCTTGATGCAACACCAATGAAAACGCCAGCAATTATTCTGGAAGAAACCAAAAGGCCATTCTAGGAGTTGGTCAAGCATGCAAAGGACCACTGATGAGAAGGACACCTTGAAGAGGGATAGACTGGTATACCTCCCACGGCCAGCCACACGGAGGGAAAGCACAAAGGCTCAGGGGGACCAGCACACCAGTGAACAGAAGCGTCCCCACAGCCTAGACAGACAGCAGGGCTGAGGAGGACACAGCAGGGGACAGTGTGGATCAACTGGACAGCCACATGAGTCCTGCCTCACTGAAGCTGATCCCAAGTGGGGTGAAAGATAAAAGCCACCAGAATAGATCTTTAGAACTTAGGGTAGACAGACATTTCTACTTTTCTTAAATAGAACCAAAAAAGCACCAAAGGGGGAAAAAGTCAATAAACTGGGCCAAAGTAAAATTCAGAACTTCTGTCACCAAAAGACGTCCAATTCCAAGTAAAGTAACTAACCCTGTAACCCAGCACCTGGACTACAAAAAAAAAAAAAAAAAAAAGATAGGAGCCATCAAGATGGCTCAAGAGAAAGACTGGAGAGATGGCTCAGAGGTTAAAAGCACTGGCTGCTCTTCCAATGGTTCTGGGATCAATTCCCAGCACCCACATGATAGCTTACAACTGTAACTCCAAGATCTGACACCCTCACACAGACATACATGCAGGCAAAACACCAGCACACATAAAGCAAAAATAAAGATAGCTCAGTAGACTAGGGATACACAGGTTCAGTTCCCGGCACCCACATGGAGACTCACAATTGTCTATATCTCCAGTTCCAGGGGATCTGACACCTTTTGGCCTCCATAGACACTAGGCACACCCATACACATACATCAATTAATTGATAATAAATCTGGCCGGGCGTTGGTGGCGCACGCCTTTAATCCCAGCACTCGGGAGGCAGAGGCAGGCGGATCTCTGTGAGTTCCAGACCAGCCTGGTCTACAGAGCGAGTTCCAGGACAGCCTCCAAAGCCACAGAGAAACCCTGTCTCGAAAATAAATAAATAAATAAATAAATAAATAAATAAATAAATAAATCTGAAAATTTTAATTAGATGGGGCAAGTGAGATGGCTCATCATGCAAAGGTTAAAGCCTGGCAATTTGAGTTCAATTCTGAAACTCAGATGATGGGAGGAGATAAATGATTCCACATGAGAGCACATGTAGACAAAGTATATAAATGTAAGTGAGAGAAAAAGAGATGTTCTCAGGAAGAACAACAACAAACCCAAGTATGAAGTAAGTGTGTGAGTGTGTGTGTGTGTGTGTGTGTGTGTGTGTGTGTGTCTTTCTAAAAAAAATACACCACTAGAAATCTGGAGATTAAGGGTGTAGGTGTTTGGTTAAGACCTCTAGATGTCTCCAGTCTTTCAGCTGGACTGAATATGTCTGCATGTAAGCATGTTTGCATTAGAGACAGGATCTCACCATGTAGACAAGGCTGGATTCAAACTCACAAAGATCTGCCTCTGCCTTCCAAGTGCTGCCATTAAAGGTGTATGTAACCATGCCTAGCTTCACCAACCTTTAGATTTATTTATTTATTCCTTTATTTTGTGTGTATATATGTCCGCCTGAATGTATGCATGTTAGGTCAGAATGTTACATGTTAGGAGTGCTCTTAGCACCTGAACCGTCTCTCCAGACCTGACAGCTACAACTTTTACAGATCTGCTCACCATGGGCACCCAAAGGGACATTGGAGCAGTGCCTGACTAGATATGACGTGTCATACCACAGTGGGACAGTGGTCGGTGTAATGGCTGATCTTGGTTGTCAGCTTGAGTGCATCTGGGATCAACTAAACCCCGAGCTGCTCTGTTGTCCTCTGAGGGATTTCCTTGATCAGATTTGAAGAAGACCCACCCTGATCTGTGCCACAACCTTCTGGTGGCCCACATGGGACACACAAAAAGCTTTGCCTTTGCCTGCTTGGTCATCTGTCCTATGTTTTGGCATTCCTTCACCACTCACTATCAGAACCTACTTCTTCAGAATTCCAAGAAGACTGAAGACCTGCAGCTCTCCAGGAATCCTCCAGAACTCCAGCACCAGACTGGGAGTGCTGAACCATCCAGTCTCATGAACTGAACACCTCCAGATTCTTGGCCTTTCCACAGTGAAACAGCCACTGGTGTTTCACCAAACAACGGCCAGTAAGTCATTCTTTTTTTCTTTTTGGTTTTTTGAGACAGGGTTTCTCTGTATTGTTTTGGAGCCTGTTCTGGAACTCACTTGATAGACCAGCTGGCCTCGAACTCACAGAGATTCGCCTGCCTCTGCCTCCGGAGTGCTGAAGTGCTGGGATTGAAGGCGTGCACCACCACTGCCTGGCTCAGTAAGCCATTCTAACAAGCTCCTTTTACTATAGATATTATCCTATAGTAAGCCATTCTAACAAGCTCCTTTTACTATAGATATTATCCTATAGTAAGCCATTCTAACAAGCTTCTTTTACTATAGATATTATCCTATAGTAAGCCATTCTAACAAGCTCCTTTACTATAGATATCATCTTACAGTAAGTCATTCTAACAAGTTCCTTTTACTATAGATACTATCCTATTGTTGGACTACCCAGACAACAGCTGGTAAGCTACTCTAACAGGTTCCTTTTACCATAGACATCGTCCTATCAGCTGCACTTCTTCAGAGAACCCTCACTGACACGGTAGGTTAATGTGGTGAACGGCATGTACAAAGCCTTCATGTAGTGATTTTGACCACTACACAAGACAGGCATGAGGCCCCACTGTATCAAGCTAGTTCCACCAAAGTGAAAAGAGGAACCTTTGAGATGCAAGGTTAGATGATGAGAAGAACTCACAGGGAACTTTGGGGTGGCAGGATATTCAATTTGCCCTGGGTGATGGTTTTTGGCTAGGGTCACGCTGCAGAAATATGTCAAGCTGTATGTAAGAACTACATTTTTCTACATACATACTGTATTTTTTCAGTGTATGTGTATGTATATTTGCTACTGCTACGTGTCTTCTTCAACTGCTCTCTACTTTGTCGAGACAGGGTCTCTCACTGAGCCTGGAGCTCTGATTTAACTGGTCTAGCTACCCAGCCTGCTCCTGGGACACGGTATCTGCCTCCCAAGTGCTGGGATCACCAGCTGCCCCAGCCCCCCGGCTTTTACGTGGGTTCCTGGAACCCGAACTCCAAGGCTCATACTCGTACAAGTGCTTTACCCACTAAGCCACTGTCCAAGTCCACACGTTACTTCTTCTTCCCTTTTCAATATATAATTTATTTTTATTGTATGTTCTTCGGTGTTTTGGCCTACATGGATGTCTATGTAAGTGTGTCGGTTCCCCTGAAATGGGAGTTACAAACAGATGTGATGTGAGCTGCTAAGTGGGGCACACTTACACATCTACCAGCGTGTATCAGTAAGCAAACACCCAACCTAAAAGGAAGCAAAAGCACAGGCGGTTCACAGAGAAAGAACGTAAGTGGCATTTGTGCCCATGAAACAGCTTTTCCACTCCCTCTGTGGGAGCCAAAAGTGCAGATGAAAATGCTGACAGGGTGACAGACACACCTTGGAGCTGTGACCTCCCCAGGCACAGGGTGAAAGGCTCCCCACTCTGACCAGAGATCTCACTTCTGGAATACTTTCTATAGATACAGTCTCCTGTACATGGAAACACCTGAGGGCTGTAACAGCAAAAGGCAGGAGGTGGCTGCCTGGGAAACTAGGCTATGGAGTTTTTCAGTTAAAAGAGAAGGCAGTACCGGATGCTCACACCCGAGGCTGAGGAGCAACCTGCTATGGACGCTGAGCGAAGACAGCAGGGAGCGGCAATACCCACAAGACAAAGAGAAAGAGCTGGAGCACGCACACTCACGTGCACACATGTTGTCTTCCTGAGACCCCGTGCACCAGTCAGCAGTGGTGCTCTCTGTGGGAGTACCGAGGGGAGGGTACACATCACAGTATGAGCACACTTTACTGTCGCATGCTCAGGTGAGGAAGAGTCCTGATTCACACGGGGCGGAGACTAAGCCTCCTGCTTGGCCTGTTTCCCACGGCTCCTTGACCGAGTATATTTTGTGATACGACACTGAAATTGAGTGGATGGATTCTGTCTAAAGATGCTGGGTGCTGACTGTATCCCACTACCTCTCCTGACCAGACTGACTGTCTAAAGACGCTGGGTGGTGACTGTATCCCGCTACCTCTCCCTGACCAGACTGACTGACTGTCTAAAGACGCTGGGTGGTGACTGTATCCCGCTACCTCTCCTGACCAGACTGTCTAAAGACGCTGGGTGGTGACTGTATCCCGCTACCTCTCCCTGACCAGACTGACTGTCTAAAGACGCTGGGTGGTGACTGTATCCCGCTACCTCTCCTGACCAGACTGACTGTCTAAAGACGCTGGGTGGTGACTGTATCCCGCTACCTCTCCTGACCAGACTGACTGGTCAAGGGCCAGGCCATGAGGTGGGCAACACTCACCTTCATTCAGGGGAGGGACACACTTACCTGGGCTGAGGGGGCGCTCTTGTGGGCTTTCTTATAGATCAGAGCTGGGCAGATGAAGCAGATGAGGCTCCCCATTGTCGCCCCTGTGAGGCCAAGGATGGTTTCCACTACAAACGAACAGACAGCAAGGCGTGACTGGGAGACTGCTCACCTGGCATAAGGGTAAATAGGGTCACTGAAAAGGCTGCCCATTGCTATATCCAAGGGGCTCCACCACCACCTCCATATTTCTCCTCCTCCTCATACACTAAGATGTGTCAGAACAGAGCAGCCTGGGAAATTCTGACAGCTGTCTGAGTTTGAGGCCAGCCTGGTCTACACAGTGTTCCAGGACAGCCAGGGTTACACAGAAATGGCCAAACACAGGGGGTTTCCTCTCAAAATCAGGCGTTGGCTCCACATGGCCTAGTACACTCTATCATCACTTGGCAAGTAACCTAGTGCCTTGTCCTAAGATATGTGTGAAAGGCCGGGCAGTGGTGGCGCACGCCTTTAATCCCAGCACTCGGGAGGCAGAGGCAGGCGGATCTCTGTGAGTTCGAGGCCGGGCTCCGAAACAATACAGAGAAACCCTGTCTCGTAAAAAAAAAAAAAAAAAAAAAATGTGTGAAAAAGGCTACGACGTGCTGGCTGGCGAAAGCCATCACTCCTGTGTTTGGCGACAGCGAGCTACAAGGAATAGGTATGACCTGAACTTTCTAGGCAGTTTTTAGGATACCAGAGAGAATGGCATGAGACTTTGGGAATGACTGTAGCTAAAAGCTGAGCATAGGCCAGGGACATCTCTGGGTCCCCCACCCAACAAGAATGAGGGAAAACTAAAGGCAGAAAAGAGGGAGCAGGGCCATGCACCGCAGGGGCTGCCCACTTACCGTTGGGGATCATGATCCCGCCAACCATGGTTCCAAACACCACCGAGAGGGTGAGGACTTTAAACCGGAGTGGAGGCATGTAGCCTCCTGCAGCAAAGGTCCCATCTTTCTGCTACATGAAAGAAAACACAAACAACCAGTTACGAAATGACTACTTCCCAGTGGCACAAAGCCACACCGGGCTCTGCCAAGCAAGCCTATCTCTGCATGAGTCTAGGCAGGAGCTCACCTGGCAGGTGAGTGTTCCAGCCTAATCAGATTTGGCTGAGCAGCTTTAATGGAAGCCCACAGAATGCCAAGGAGCCATAAGCTTTACTCCAGGTGTGGGCTGTACATCTTACAACTCGGCTGGCACACGGGAAGGATTGACCGTAATGATCATTCCTGGGTTAGGAACAACCGAACCTTCCAGAACTAGAGCATCAAAGAGGTCTAGTTTCATAAGAGACATTAATGCGGGTGAACTGAGGTCACTGGAACGGGAACCTTTTGCTGAATAGGGACGATGGTCTGTCCATAACCCAGGAATCCTGGTCATAGCACTGCAAGTTGGCCAAGAAATTCTCTAAAGGAGGAAGTGGTAACATGTATGTGGACAGGCAGAAAAGCCATCAACAGGAGAACATCGACAGGAGGGGATGAGCAACAGGTAGAGATGCTGAGGGTTTCCATGGATACACAGACAGGCCCCAGTAAATCTACTGAAACAGAGGAAAGGGAAGGGATCCTTTCTTTCCTTCCTTCCTACCTTTCTTCCTTTCTTCCTTCCTTCCCTCCCTCCCTCCCTCCCTCTCTCTCTCCCTCCCTCCCCTCTCTCTCTCTTTGGTTTTTCCAAAACAGGGTTTCTCTGTGTAGTCCTGGCTGTCCTGGAACTCGCTCTGTAGAGCAGGCTGGCCTTGAACTCAGAGACCCTCCTGCCTCTGCCTCCCAAGTGCTGGGACTAAAGGCATGCGCCACCTGGTGGTAAACTTTCTTAATGCTTCGCTTTGCTCCATTATTGATATTTAACTTTACAACAGAGCTAGACACCAGCACTTGGGAAACAGAGGCAGGCAGGTCTCTGTGAGTTCAAGACCAGTTTGGTCTAGACAGTGAAGGCCAGACCAGCTAAGGCTACATAGTAAGACACCCCCCCTTCTCTCTCTCTCTCTCACACACACACACACACACACACACACACACTCTTACACTTTGCAGAAGAGAGGGCACGGTGTGCAAGAAGCACCAACACTGCTTTACCCTGAAGCACACGCACACAAGCTCACATGGAGCATCGAGGGCGAGTCTCAGCACCCACAACGGTGGTACAGCATGAACCAGGGTGGGGTAGGGTGAACCTGTGGCCATAGAGCTGGTCTCACCTTTGCCCCTTGTGGTAGTGTGAATGTAACTGACCCTCATAAGCTCATAGGGAGTGGCACTATTAGGAGGCATGGCTTTGCTGGAGCAGGCATGGCCTTGTTGGAGGGAGTGTGTCACTGTGGAAGTAGGCTTTGAGGTTTCCTGTCCTCAAAATACCACCCAGAGTCTCAGACCATTTCCTGTTATCTTCTGATCAAAATGTAGCCAGCACCATGTCTGCCTGCACACCACCACGCTCCCCACCATGATGATAATGAACTGAACCTCTGAACTGTAAGCCACCACCTCAACTAAATGTTTTCCTTTATAAGAGTTGGCATGGTCCGAGGCCAGGCTGGACCGACAGCCTCCAAAACAATACAGAGAAACCCTGTCTCGTAAAACCAAAAAAAAAAAAAAAAAAAAAAAGTTGCCAAACGCAAGGAACAAAGTCCTAAATCCTACTTTGCATGGCATCCAGGTACAGACACGAGCAGAGGTAGACCAAGAGCTAGCTGTGTGTGAGAAGCACTCGGCCTTTGGCACTGGGCCTCGACTGACACAGACAACCGCAGTGCCACGACGGGAGCAGACAGGGACTCTATACTCTGGGACCACTACTGCTGCTTCCCTTCCCTAAGTGCTTGAGTGACCTTGTATTCCTGGGAAGGGAAGGGGAAGGGAAAGGGAAGGGGAGAGGAAAGGGAAGGGAAGGGAAGGGAAGGGGAAGGGAAGGGGAGGGGAATGGGAAGGGAAAGGGAAGGGGAGAGGAAAGGGAAGGGAAGGGGAACGGGAAGGGAAGGGAAGGGGAAGGGAAGGGGAGGGGGAAGGGAAGGGGAAGGGGAAGGGGAAGGGGAACAGGAAGGGAAGGGAAGGGAAAGGGGAAGGGGAAGGGAAAGGGGAAGGGGAGGGGAATGGGAAGGGGAAGGGAAGGGGAAGGGGAAAGGGGAAGGGGAGGGAAAAGGGAAGGGAAGGAAAAAGGGAAGGGAAAGGGGAAGGGAAGGGGAGGGGAGGGGAATGGGAAGGGGAAGGGGAAGGGAAAAGGGAAGGGGAAGGGAAGGGGAAGGGAAGGGGAAGGGAAAAGGGAAGGGGAAGGGAAGGGGAAGGGAAGGGAAGGGGAAGGGAAAGGGAAAGGGAAAGGGGAAGAGGAAGGGAAGAGGAAGGGAAGGGAAGGGAAGGGAAGGGAAGGGAAGGGAAGGGAAGGGAAGGGAAGGGAAGGGAAGGGAAGGGAAGGGAAGGGAAGGGAAGGGAAGGGAAGGGAAGGACGATCTCTATCAAAAACTTCCTGGCAGGGCCAACAAGAAAGGCTCAGCAGGTAAAGGTGCCTGTCACCTGAGTTTGATCCCTGGAACCCGCACGGTGACAGAAAAGAACTGGGCCGCACCAGTTTAAATCTGACCTATGTTCACACACCATGACATGTAAGCCCCACTACCTCAGCAAATGAAGAAAAAATTTAATTACAAACAGTGACAAAAACTACTTCATTTCAGCTGGGCAAGGTGGTACACATATGTGATCCTAGGACTCAGAGGACGGTGCTACAAGAGAGAACCCTGAGTTCAAGGCCAGCCTGGAAAACACAGCAGATCCCCCACAAGATAACCCGAGACTTCATTTCACCTACAGTCTGTGTGGGCCAGCAGGATGGCTCAGCAGGGAAGCACATCTGCCACACAAGCCAGACAATCTGGGTTTAACCCCTGAACCCACAACAGAAGGAGAGAGTCCACCTCTAAATGTTGTTCTCTGACTTACACACACACACACACGCACACACACACACACACACACACACACACACTCTCTCTCTCTCTTAAAATTTGTTTATCGCTAATAACTAGGAAAAGCTCCACCTACCCCTGTCATGGAAACACAGAGCTAGCCCAAGAGAATGAAAGATCATACCTGCTGCTCAAACAGCAGTGTGTTCAAGGCCTGTCTGCATGGCAGAATCATCATGGGGAAGCCCACAGCCACAGACATCACGAAGCCCACTCGGATCATCTCTGTCACCAGGTTGGAGGGAAAGTGTATCAGCACATTGCCCGCAGTGGCATCAGTGAAGCTGACGTAGCCGAAAAACCCCACCTGTGAGAGGAGGTGAAAGAGCACTGCGGTCAGCTGTCTGTCCGTCCACCACCAGTCACTCTGCCTGTCTGGCTGTCTTTGTCCCACACTGGCCTCAGCGTACCTCCTCAAGGAAGCTGGCACAGACCCACCCTCGCAAGGACAAAAGCAGTCGTCAGCTCCTCAGTCTGGTGGACTGGTGAAGTGTAACTTCAACAGAACCATCAGTGAGGCAGACATGGAGTTGCCTGTATGAACCGAAGATTCTAGAATGCCTCCAAGCCCTTCAGAGGAGACACTTTTCTTTTTCTTTTTCTTTTTTTTTCCAGACAGGGTTTCTTTTTGTAGCCCTGGCTGTCCTGAACTCACTCTGTAGACCAAGCTGGCCTCAAACTTATGCAAATCTGCCTGCCTCTGCCTGACTCAGATGAGCCCCTCTTAATCTGGTTCAAACCCAGTCAGGAGCTGGTGCAGGGGCACAGGCCGGTGACCCAGTTTCCGGGAGGCAAAGACAGGAGGATGGAGAGAGTTCTAGGCCAGCCAAACTGGGACACACAGTGTGACCCTGCCTCCAAAACCAAACAAATAAAACTAGTCAAACAGTTGTAGGGTGGAGAGGATGGAAGAAAACCCAGGACTCGATGATGCTCCAATGACCACTCGGGACGACGGACGCCAAGGAGTGGACAGGAGCTGAGCCACACCCCAACCTGTTACACCCTCATTTCAGGCAGCATCTTCCCCTCCATGGTTCTGGGGTCGTGTATGCAAGGCAAGCTCTCTCCCAACTAGGCTACTTTCCTAGCCCTGTATTCTTATTTAAAGACAACTAATAGAAGCCAGATGTGATATAATCCCGGCTCTTGGGAGGAGGAGGCAGGAGGATCATGAGTTCAAGGCCTAAGCTACATATCGAGTTTCAGGACAGTTTTGGCTCCACAATGAGAACCTGTTTCAAATAAAGAAGGAAGGGATGGGGGGGAGCGTGCGCAAACGGTAAGTATAAAAAGAAGAGGAGCCAGGCGGTGGTGGTACATGCTTTTAGTCCCAGCACTCAGGAGTTCAAAGCCAGTCTGGTCTACAGAGGGAGTTTCACAACAGCCAGGCCTACACAGAGAAAGCCTGTCTTTGGGGAGGGGGTGAGAGACTACTACACACGTTCACAATGCTTGTGGATGGGGTATTCTTTCACACTGGCGTCTCATGCACCCCAATTTCTCTAAACTGGAACGCCCATCTGCAGAGAGTTAACAAGGCCACAGAGAGGGGAGGCAGGGCCCCCAGTTAGAGCCATCTGGAACCAAGCTCTTCAGACTCGATAATGTCTACACAACTGGGCATGGCGGTGCTCACCTATAATCCCAGCACCTGAGAGGCAAAAGCAGGAGGGTTACCCCAAGTTTGAGACTATTCACATCTACACAGCAAGTTTCAGGCCAGCCAGGAATACAAAGTGAGACCCTCTCTTAAAAATTGAGAAACGATACAACAGGACCCAGGGCAAAGGTAGCTCGAGGGTACCCAGGCCTGGAATGCCTGGGGTGGCGGAACTGAGCTGCTCTGGGTCACCTACAGACACTGGCATGGAAAAGGTCAGAGCCAATGGTATATCTGGGACCCCGACAGAGGGACACTAAAGGTCACATGGGGTCTGGAGAGCAAGAGGCAGTGTGCTGTGCTAGTGGGCGTCAAGGAGAAGGTGTGGAACAGCTCCTACCATGACGTAGAAGGCGGTGACCACGTTGAGGGAGGAGGCAAATATGGAACTCATGGTCTTCACCGATGGTTCATCCAGGCTGTCATAGGTAGGCAGGACCTGGCTGTGTAAAGACAATCGAGTCACACGACTCCAGACAAGGAGACTCCAGAGCCTCACCCGCCCCTCCTGACAACTCCTAGGACCTCTACCAAAATGGCCCAGGGAACAAACCTCTGGCACTCCCCACGACATTCTCCACAGACCATGATCTATGGTGCCAAGGACCGCAGCTGGGTGACACTATGGACGGCAGCACTGTGGTAAGACCCTAACAGGCTCCATGGAGACTCCTTTACAATTAGCACTGTGCGGGGACGTGCAGACTGGGCAGAGGATGGAAGCAGATCTGAGTAAGGCACAAACAGGAAGCCGACGCAGCGCCACTGCCCAGGGACGGGAAAGTTAAACAAACACGTCTGGCTGGCTGCAGCCAGCTCAGCACCACCAACAGACACAAAGGTGAGCGCAGACAAGGAGGCAGCCTGCACACAGTCCCCAGCTCACAGCCTCCTTCTCACCAGTGTGATGAGAGAACTGGCTTCTGTCCTAGGCCTGGTGCCAAGAGTGTGCGGCTGCTGGACAGGTGGGAGGGACCCAAGTCGCCGGCAGGACAGGGTTATGACAACCTCACGAAGGCTCTCTGAAAACAGCATGATCTGAGGACTTGGGACAGAAACCCCAACTGAGGAGAATATGCAGGACCTGAACACCTGCGAGGCGTGGGGATCGAGACTAAAGAGAGGGGAAAAGAGGAGAAGAGGGAGCTGCATTTGAGATGGTGCAGGTGAGGACATCCGGTAAGGGACTAAACTAGAGCGGGAGGGAAACCTGGTAGCCACCCTCGAGTACTTCCCAGGTGGCTATCGCCTTCCAGGACAAAATCAGAGTACTAAGTAAGGAAGCTAGACTAGGAACAGCCATGCAAATGGGTGTTTGTATGTGTGCAACCGCACGCATGTGCATGCTGGAAATCAGCAACCAATAGACAGATCAGCACACGGATCAATGAAGCCATGCCCAAAAATGTCTTTAAAAAGTTCAAGAAAACCAGGGGCGGTGGTGGCGCACACCTTTAATCCCAGCACTCGGGAGGCAGAAGCAGGAGGATCTCTGTGAGTTCAAGGCCAACCTGGTCTACAGAGCGAGTTCCAGGACAGGCTCTAAAAGCTACACAGAGAAACCCTGTCTCGAAAAACAACAACAAAGTTCAAGAAAAACAAAGAGACACACTACGTTGATAAAAAAGCAGGCAGGGATAAGTGGGAGGGTTTGGCAAAGCAAAGCTGCAATCCCTGTCGACCCTATGGGTACAGGTCAACCTCAGCACAAGAGGCCACCACAGAAGCCAGCTGGGAGGAAACAAGGCAGCCACACCCTACACAGCTTCAGTGTCCCTACACATAGCAGGAGCCCGGGCCCAGGCTGACTAGGACTCTAGTTGGAGCAGGAGGCCCACGTTGAGGGGAATCTGAGCGAGATACGCGTGCACATACACAAACACACGTGTGCACATACAGGCGAGGAAGGGCACTGCGGGCGCTGTGAAGAGGTGGGGTGTGCAGCGGACACAGCGACAAGGCTGAGCCACAGGCTCCCAGCAGCCCCCTCTGCCCCGCCCTCCCCACTGCCCCCGCCCCGCCCTCCCCAACCCTCTGCCCCGCCCTCCCCACTGCCCCCGCCCCGCCCTCCCCAACCCTCTGCCCCGCCCTCCCCACTGCCCCCGCCCCGCCCTCCCCAACCCTCTGCCCCGCCCTCCCCACCCCACTTCAGAGAGCAGCATCACAACTCTTGGGGTGCCCTCACTCCCCCTAGGCTAAAGGTGACATCCCCAGGTGCGCTCTCTTCCATGGAGGCTTTCTGTGTTCCGCGTGGCCAAGATTCATTTACTACGAAGTAAGATCAAAGGGGTCAGACGATGACAGCAAGAACTATATATACCAGGCACAAAGTTAGGAGGCTGGCCGCCATCCCAGTCAGGACAGGCCACCGAGGGAAGAAGAACTCTTGTCACCTCACCTGGCCAACATTCCAGTGCTTACAGCCTGGAGACAGACAGCATGTGACCGACATGGAGGAGGGGGGTATGAACATTTATGGCCCCCAGGTCCTCATGCCGGGGAGAAGAAACCTGCACTTAGACGGTGGCACGCTTCCACCCTTCAGGAACCAGCAGTCTGCTCTGAGACCCAACCCACAGATGAGCACTGCCTGCTAGGTGGCTCCCGCCAAAGAAGCCCAGCCGCAGGCTCGTTTCTTTAAAAGCAAACATGCAGGCAGAACGGACAAATGGTAACTAGGTACGCTGCACAAGAATGTAACTTCTGTCACCGAGGATAATGGGGACATTAAACAGCGAGGCTGGAGCACGTTCTGGTGGAGACAGGGCTGCCAAGAGGGAGCCGGTAAGTGGGAAATGACGATTTGGAACTCGCATGTGGGTGTAAACACAGCAGTGTGAGCAAATTCTCTCTGTCACACTAGTTTACGATTGGCACAATCCATGCCCACTGACACCACAGGAGGGGGGCTCCTCTGCCAGCCCCCCAACACACATGCCAATGGTCTTTTCCTACTGATGTCAGAGTTATGCTCACTGTTCCCACCCGGGCATGCATCGCAGGCTCCTGCCACCCTGATGGAGAAGGCACCGCTGCTGCGATGGTGAGGCAGCCCGTTCCTGTTCACAGAGCCCCGCATGCCAGAGAGCCCGCCTGCACACACAAGCCTCAGAGACATCCTAGCAGCAGTTTGAACTCAATGTTTGTGCAACTTCTTTTCAAATATTCTCAGACAAACAGCTAGAGCCTGGCAGAGCACTCGGGACTCTGCACATTCAGATGGCTGGGCTACTGCTGCACCCCTCGGCCAACTCTCCTCTCACGGGATCTGGAAACGTGGGTGCCCTTGCCAGTTAGTCCCAGCGATAGTTCACTTCCAGGTTAGCACAGAACTATCCCCCCTCAGCCCAGAGGGGACAGGCCACACTGGAACAAGCCATCATCCCTCAGCGGCCAGGATCAAGCAACTCAAGAAACAAGAAAAGCAGGGCTCTCAGCCCCACACGGCCTCACTTCACTCCCCACCCCTCCGCACACACACCCCTTCCACCTCAACAGTACTTACGACTGACAGGCAAAGGACATGCCAAAGATGGGGACGCAGCGGAAAACACCCTCCCAGCGGATATAGCTGACGTGCTGCAGCCACTGCCCACTGAAGAGGCCATGCTTAAGGGAGGACAGCACAATCTGCAGAGAGGAGAAAGGAGGGCACAGGGTCAGGGGTCAGGGTGTAGCTGCGACCACGGGACACCGTGCCTCACAGGAGGCACACAGCTCTTCTCCACGTCTGAGATGGCTTACTCCTGTAGCCTGGGGCTGTTTGAAGGGGCAGGGACCCCAGCTTGCCTGTGTCCCTGGGCCCTGGCTCATACTCAGGCCATACCTGGAGCTTCTTGAACACGACTGAGGGGTATACTGGCTCAGGGGGCTTTCTGCACACGACAGAGCAGCTCATGAGCAGGGGCCTCTTGGTGGAGACAGAAGCGAACCCTCAGTCACCATCCCAGTCCCGATGTCAGTCCCCTGATGTGGCATGCCCTTCCTTTCCCCACCCTGGCCCAGTCATCTTTCAGGAGCTCGGCCACTGAGGATGTGGCTACCTGAGTAAGGACCTAACTGTCACTGGGCTGGGCCTCAGAAAGCTGAGGGGCACTGGAGGGACACTGGCAATAGGAAACCTGCAGCCTAGACTGTACTCGCCTCCTGTCAGGACACGTGGCCCTGCTCTTCCCTAGCCAGGGAAAGTGAACCCTAAGGGGTCAGCAGGGTCAGGCACCATGGTGGCATCATGCACCAGGTTACATGTTCTACGTGAAAGATATTCCCATTAAACACACAGCCACTACAGTTGTGTTTTCCACAGCCTTGGTAAAGGGGCGATGTTCTCAGAGCCCCTCATCCTGCTGTTGAGCTGCCATACCTCTGATGCTCACTGGGCAGACATACATATTGCCTTCATGACACTGCAGTAACTCTACCCCACGTGTAAGACTCAGAGCCACCTTCCCCTATGCCCCACAAGGTGGCTGATGGCTACCCCAGACTCAGGCATGAACTCTTACAGTCATGGGGGGACTCAGCCACCGCAACCCCCTTAACAGTGCTTGTGGCGCTCACCACAAACATGAAGACGGTGTAGAAGAGGAGCGCCATGGCGCTGAAGGACTGGATGGAGGCCATCATGTTCCTCTGCAGGCTGAGCGGGAGCACGATGCACAGGGACACTGTGAAGAGCAGGAACACTCGGAAGCTGTTGGTCACCTGGAAGGGAACCCAGAATCCCCACAGTCTGCAGCCTGGGCTTATTCACTGCCAAGGCTCAGCTTACAGTGTGGCCAGGACAGGAGCCACTGCAGGCTGGGGAGCACTGGGGGGCCTTAAACAGAAGGTGGGGGGAGGAGGTCAAGCTGGCATGTTCACTCTGAAAGCTCCCCTCCTGGCAGCTGTGCCACGTGGATCAAAATACTAAACAGCTCTGGCACTGGTGTGGCCCTGCCAGGCTCCACAATGAGACAAGTCTGGAAGAAAAAGGTCAGCTACCCCTTGCTACACAGGGAAGGAATGTGGCAAGACTGGGTAGGCCCCGTCCTGCTCTGGGCATACCCTGCACAGCTAGCGCTGGGGGTGGTAGAAGGAACTACCACTTCTCCACACATCTCAGAGCCAACTCTGCTGCAGAAGGAAAACCTGATCCAGATAATTCGTCACAGAACTCCAGACTGGCATCTACTAGCAAGCTAAGGTCTGGGGATATCTACCATCCAACTCACTGCAGCCAGCACTCTGACTTCCTGCATCCTTCTTCAGAGCTGACAGCACGGGTGGAAGCCAAGAGCTCTGCCGAAACCCTTGAAAGCTTCTACTCCCCAGCTACAGACACTGCTTATCTAAAACAACCCCGCTGCCGAGCAGGGGAGCACAGCACATGACAGGGGAAGAGGACAGGCAGGCTCTGCGCATGCGGGCCTACTGAGTGTAAGACACACGCAAGGCTCCAGAGGCCGATACCGCCCGTCCTGCGAGGCTCTCAGAACTGCAGGCAAGATGCCTGGCCCTGGCACAGGGCAGTAGGCTTTGAGAAAGGACCCGAGTACCTGGGTGAGGGGCTGACCCACAGGGAGAGTGGGAGACGGAAAGCTACATGGGAAGGAGGCGCCTGCAGAACACAGGCCGGAGCCAGGCTCACATCACAGGACCCTGACTGGGAAGCTCTCCAGCACCGTGCAAGCCCCACACTTTGTATTCCTGAGTAGGGCCACCCCTCAGCTGCCGTCTTTACAAACTGCAACCCATTTCTACCCGTCTGATAAACAGACATGAAGGACTCTTCACAGAAAAGGCCCTCCAGGGCCATGTGCGCACCCTCCCTAGCCAGGCACTGGCTACGGCTCTGTTCCCCAGGAGAGGAAGGCTGTGTGGGGCCCTTAAGGGACAGGGAGTGGCAGGTCTGGAGGATGCGCAGAGCTGAGTCACAGGCCTGATTATCAGCGCCCTTGCACCTCCCTCAGCGGCGTGAAGACCCAGCTGCCTGCCTCAGTGCACTGGTCAGCAGCCACACGAGGACCTGGCCTCTTTTGCCTTTTGATGGGCAGCACTGGAAGACTGAGGCCTCTGGTTTAAGGAGAGGAGACCCTGGGCGGCAACCACAAGCATTAAAACAGACCAGACATTTAACACTGCCTTACCCGTAATCCTAACAGCGGAGCAAAGAAGTTGGAGCCCAAGTCACCAATCACGACGTAGAAGGCAATGCAGGTCCCCAGCATCAGCCCGATCATGCTGTGAAGATGGAAACCAGGCTTTGGAATCAGATTTGAAAGAAAGTACTACTTTGTGACCAGAACACTGCACCTTTGCAAGATGTAAGGCTCAAGAGCTCCCAGTCTGACACCCAGGGCCAAAGCCAGTCCCTGGGCTGTGCTGGCACGACACTGCCAGAAAAGTGGCTGAGCGAGAGACAGGTTTTCATGTCCACACTCACAGGACTGGATGTCTGGGGGCTCTCTCCACTGCATTTGGGGTGAATACTGAGCCACACTTAACGATTCTCTGTGGGGTGTCATATTTTCCTTCCAAAAGAGCCTCAGAAATTCTTTCAGGTGCAACAAAAACTCAGTGATATTAGACAAGTTAAAGGAATAATCAACTGCTTCCAAAAAAAAAAAAATTTTCTTCTGTTTTTACAACTCCCTGATTTAGAAGCCTAAAAGTAATTTCCTGGCAATTTTTTTCAACTCATAAAATTTTACTCTCAGTGAAAACAAAGTGACATTTCAGTTTAGTGCCTCTCTTCTGCAGTAGAGTTGGGGATACAGTTTGAACAACAGCCCTGAGATGAACTATACCAAGAGAACTGATTTACTGTGCTCCCCAAGTTTCCCATTCTCATGCACTAGGCCCCAGCAAGACTCAGATGAGGCTTTCAGCTTTGACAACTGTCATCGTAAGGGAGCAGCGCACTGACGTCCAGCTATTCGCTAAGTAACTCTCCAGAAGCACTGCACAAGCTACAAGCCAATCCACGTGAAGTGCATCGCTCCTGCCCCAACAGGCTCCCACGCCCGCACTGCTGCAGGAAGGAGGGCGGGGCCCAGCAAGGCTACACTGCTTACCTGGTCTCCACCAGCATCTTCCCAGCCTTGCCGTAGGCGTGGAATGCTAGGAAAGAGAAGAGAACTAAGCTCAATCCAACAGTGAGAAAAAACGTCAGTAAAAAGTGAACGGCAGTTTGCCATGCCTGTTGCTAGAAGTTCCATGGATAAGGAAACAGTTTAAAACTCTGGTCCCTAGACTTTCTTCAGACCTACCATCCTCACATGAAACAGCGTGAAACAAGAGCGAAGCAAGGGAAACACGGGCAGGGGTTCTCGTTGCTTCATATGAGATTGTAAGAGGGGAAAGGAAGCCAGGACCCTGTGATGCAGTAGAAGCCCATGCATCCTCCAGTAGGTCTGCTTGGGGCAGTAACAATACAGTAGAGACAGCCTCATCTGGGGCAGGGGGAGAGGCAGAACTAGAAGGGACCCAGTAGGTTCAAGCCCTGCCCAGAACCCAGTGTCCATGCCCTGCACCACAGGGATACAGCCGAGGAGGATGTCTTTTTTATCCTTTGATTGTGATTTTTCAGAACAAAGCAGAATCTGTGCGAGCATGGCGCTCTGGGGAAGGAAGGACAGCCAGTAAAGAACCCTGACAGAGGCAAGCATGCATGGCCACAGCAGTGTCCTACCAGGAAAGGGGTCTCTCTGTCTGTCACTCCTAACCCAAAACTATTTCCAGCAGATGGGAAATTAAAAGCTGACTCAACAAGGCCCTTCACAGGACCTTTACAGTTATCCGGTCACCCAGAGTTTCCCCCATACTCCAGCCAGATGAGGGCAAAGGGAAGTCCTGGTCTACTGGGAGCAGCCCAAGGCAGTGCATGTGACAGGATGGCCTCAGCCCTGTCACAGCCCCAGCTTCCTGCCCCTTGTTTCCTCCCTCACTCTGGGCCAGCAGCCCTCTGAGGTTGAAGAGCAGGAAACACACATCCACTGGGTATGAATGAACCAAACAAAATCCTTGTTATTTTTAACTGAGGAAGAGGCACAGAGTTGGCAAAGGCCAGACAGTTGGCATCAGCCTCAGCTTGGCCTGAGGAAAACAGACTTCGGCCTCCAGGGGTCACTCTGGCCTTTCCCAGACTCAGTTGGGAAAGGAACCTAGTATACCCCTCAAGTTCATCTAGCAAGGACTGGAACCCAGTTCAGAATGTTACCCAAAGTCTAGACTGAGAATTTCAAAAACCTAAAAGATCTCCAGAGGTGATGATATCCATAGCTGCCTGTCATGCTATCAAAGGCTCCAGGCCCTATGCCAGAACACTCAGTAGGAGAAACAGAGGGCCTAAGCCCTGACCCATTCCAACCGCTACTCATTCCTTCTTACCCTCTAAAAGGAAAGTGTGCCTACTGCACACTTCAAATACAGAATACCCTGGCCTAGAAAATGCCAGAATACACATGCCTGCAGACATGGGAAAGTGAAGGTCATCAGCTAGCTGAAAGGCCAGCAGGGACTAGTGCTTTCTTCTCCCAGATCACTCTCAAAAGAGTCCAGGCCAAGACCAGGCTTCCTGCCCACCTGTCTATCCCTGTCTTCCCTGAGCCCTGAGAAATAGGACCAGAGGACAACAGGCAGAAATGACTCCACCCTCCACCTGCCCGCAACAGCAAGGCAAGAAAGGAGAGCTATTCAATACGGGACACAGAGGAGGCAGGGGAGAGAATGGGGCTTGTGACCGGGCAATACGAGGCAAGGAAGGCTGGCCAGAGACTTCAGCTGAGCCACTCCTGGAGGTGTAGAAGGAACTGCCCTGGGATTCCCCCCTGCAGCATGGGCACAGGGCCAGCAGAACTGGGCAGGTGCATACTAAACATAATAAACACTGTTAACTCCAGGAGGCTGGGACAGCATAAAAAACACGTGTCAGAGAGCGCCACTTCAGAGCCCTGTTCACCAAACCAAGCGGCAGGTACACAGGCCACACAGCTCAAGGACGTGCAAAAAGAGGCATTCGGCCAGCATGTCCCTGCAGGCGTGCTCTAGGCCCATGAAGAGCGAGAGGCACACTGACCGTGAGCCACGGTGACACAGAACCAGTAGCTTCCACCACTCACAGCTGAACAGTCAGAGGCCAGGGGGTCACACAGTCTCCGATGCTAGAGAAGGTGGCTTCCATCTCAGAGCACACACTCCTAGGGCAGGGTCAGAAGAGTTCCCCAAGAGCCACTAGCATTTCTGTGTACCGTCTATTACGGTTAGCTGTGTTTTTTGTTTGTTTGTTTTTGTCAACTTGACACAAATCTAGACGTATCTAGAAGACAGACTCTCATCTGAGAAAATGCCTCCCTCAGATTTCCTGCAGTATGTCTGTAGGGCATCTTCTTAATGACTAATGTGGGAGGACCCAGCTCACTGTGGGTGGCGACACACCTGGACAGGTGGTCCTGACGTGTGTGAGAAAGCAGTGAGCGAGACATGAAGAGACTCTCTCTGTGGTCTCTGCTTCAGTCCCTGCCCTGCCTTCCCTCAAGGACAGACTGTCACCTGAAGAGCTGTAAGACGAAACAAACCCTTTCCTCCCCAGGCTGATTTGGCCACGGTGCTTTATTGTGCACTAGCAACCCTAACTAATGCACCTTCTGAAATGAAATGAGGTTTAAAAGGCCATGCAAAATACAAACAAAGCAAACTGGTGCCCAAATTCACCAACGACCCCCACTGTGCCCTGCTGGGGGGGGGGATATTCTTTCTCCAGAACTGGGGGGAGGTCTGTCAGGTAAGAGAGGCCACTGCCACAGCTGGTGACACTGTTAAAGAGTTAGTGCAAAGTAGCCAATGTGAGAAAAGGGTCCCCAGACTCCCATGGACCACACATGGTAAGCAGGCTCCTTGCTGAAGACATGACTTCTTCCATGGCCTCCAGGTGAGGACATGGGCTACCTGCACATGTCACCTACAGAGCCCCGATGCCCATGACCCAGAATCCCCTCATGCATTCACAGACACAGCCATCTGTCAGGTCTGCTATACCTTGAGGGAATGTGGGGCTCACCTCTGAGCATCCCATGGGCTCCAGCACAAGTACACAGTGAGTCTTGGCCCATCAAGAAGATGAAGGGAAGCCAGGCGGTGGTGGCACACGCCTTTAGTCCCGGCACTGGGGAAGTGGACGCAGGAGGATCTTTGTGAGTTTGAGACCAGCCTAGTCTACAAGAGCTAGTTCCAGGACAGCCTCCAAAGCCACAGGGAAACCCTGTCTCGAAAAAACCAAAACAACAACAAAAAAAGAGGATGAAGGGCAAGGGAGAAAGGCAGGTGTCTGTCCAGCTACAGAGGAGGGAGGGCGGGCTCCACACTACATTCAGGGTCAACCCATAGCAGCAGGTGGCACAGGAGACTCCTCTGTACTGCTCTGGCTTCCATACAGCCAGTCACCATACCTTGTAGACAAAAGAAAACCGGTGCTGCCCTGACTGTCTGGGGACCCGAGAGACTCGGATTCGGGGAAATCAGGATTCCAAGAAATTATCTAGGGGTTCGGAAAGCTCTGGGTACCTGGAAAACTGAAGGCCCAGAAGACGACTGGGGGCCCAGGAGAGTAAGAGTCTAAAAGACTCTCTGGAGTCCCACACAACTAAGCCACCTTGTTTAGGGTCCAGGAAGTGGTGGCACACACCTTTATCCCAGCACTTGTGAGGCAGAGACAGGAAGATCTCTGAGTTCAAGGCCAGCCTGGTGTACAGAATGAGTTCCAGGGCAGTTAGGACTACACAGAGAAGCCCTGTCTCAAAAAAAAAAAAAAAAAAAAAAAAAAAAAACAGAAAAAAAGCATAAGCTAAGACTACTGGCAATTTGGGATTTGTTGTTCCCAGTGAGTTACCACATTCAGTTTGGGCTGGAGCCCCAGGCAGCCAGCATTCAGAGGGGTCCATTCAACAATTTTCTTTCCATCTCTCATGTCTGGACAAACCGGTTTGACTTCTCAGGGGCTGTTGAAGAGTAACTGACTAGCCAGTCTTCTATGAGAAGCCGTGGCTTCACCAGGCAGTGGTGGTGCACACCTCTGAACCCAGCGCTCGGGAGGAAGAGGCAGGCGGATCTCTGCGAGTTCAAGGCCAGCCTGGTCTACAGAGTGAGTTCCAGGATAGCCAGGCTACACAGAGAAGCCCTGTCTCTGAAAACAAAAAGGCCAAACCCTGAAAAGAACTAGAGGGAACAGAACTGCAACCAACAGTCTGGGGGGGGGGGAAGACCCACCCTTTGGGTAGATGGGCACTGAAGACTTTCCACCGTGGAGTTCCAGGAGTTGGAGATGCTCCTTCAAGCAACTCCTGGGAAGGCTTCACAGTACTAGGAGTTAGAGGCAGGAAGTCAGCAGAGGGCTGTCGGAACAGCAACCCTACTGGACTTGAAGGGCAAGTATGTACATCTGTACAAAAGAGGCATGAGGGCAAGGACGGGAAAGAAGGAGGCTCTATCTCCTTCATCGAAGGTCAGTTCTGAAGCAGGTGATTTTGCTTCTTTGTTTTGTTTTGTGGACTGAGTATCTATGTAGCCCTGGCTGTTCTGGAACTCACTCTGTCAATCAGGCTGCCCTTGAATTCAACATATCCACCTGTCTCTGCGTCCCAAGTGCTGGGACTAAAGGTGTGCGCCACTAAGCTTTTTTTTTTTTTGAACAGTGTTATTAATTGCATGTTTTTAAAAACTATTTTATTCAGCACTCAAAAAGCAGAGGCAAGTAGATCTCTGTGAGTTCTAGGACAGTCTGATCTACATAGCATGTTCTAAGCGAGGCATACCTACACAGTGAAACTTTGTCTCAAAACAACAACAATGTGTGTTCGCATATTATATGTAATTTTATTTATTATCATGTGTGCATATGTGCCCGTGCGCATTAGTGCCACACTGTGGATGTGTAGATCAAAAGACAACTTTGTGTAGTTGGTTCTCTCCTTCTACAAGTATCACCCGTATGTGGGTTTCAGGAATTGAACTCAAACTGCAAGGTTTGTGCAGTCACTCACTGTACTATCTTAGCAATCCTTGTTTTTTGTTTTTTTTTTTTGAGGTAGTTTCTTGTAGCCTAAGCTGGCCTCAGATTTGCTATGGCCTTGAACGTCTTATCCCCCTACCTTATCCTTCCAAGTGCTAGGATTATAGACAGGCACCAACACACTTACCTTGTATTAAAATTAATTATTTAAAAAAAAGCTGTGTGTGGTGGTGCACACTTTTAATCCCAGCACTTGGGAGGTAGAGGCAGGAGGATCTCTGTGAGTTTGAGCCAAATGATCTACATAGTGAGTTCCAGGACAGCCAACCCCCCCCAAAAAAAAACATTGCTCAAAACAAAAACAAACAAACAAACAAAAACCCAATGATGGGAAATGTTCTTCTGTGTATGTTTCTCTTATTGGTTGATGAATAAAAGACTAATTGGCTGATTGGCCAGACAGGAAGTGATGTAGCTGGGCAGAATAAGGATATAAGTAGGGACAAACAGGAAATCGCTCTCCTCTCTGTGGAGATACTGAGCAGTCACCATGTGAGCTGCCAAAGGAGTTAGAGGTCCAGACCTTTCTCCAGTAAGATAAGACCACATGGAAATACATAGATTAGTACTAATGGGTTAATAATTAAGACAGAGCTAGCCAATAAGAAACCCTACCACTGGCCAACAGTTTTATAATTAATATAAGTTTTTGAGTGTTCATTTTTGGCAAGGCGGCTGCGGAACTGGGCGGGATATCCTGTAACACCCCCAAACCCAGGGGCTGGAGAGATGGCTCAGGGGTTAAGAGCACTGATTGATCTTCTAGAGGACCCAGGTTCAACTCCCAGCACCCCCATGGTAGCTCACAACTGTCTGTAACTCCAGTTCCAGGGGGCGCAAAACCCATGGCAAAACACTAATGCATATTTAAAAATAAAAATGAACAAGAAATAGAAGGCGAAATAGAAAACAAGAGGAAACAGACTTCCCCAGAACCCGCCCCCAAGCAAGAGCATCAGACTTCTTGGGAAGGGGCTGTCAGCTTTGCCAGCACTCTGAAAGTCGGGTCTTACCCAGGCCAGCGTAGGTTCTCCTCTTGCTCAGGCTGGCCGACTTCACCAAGAACATGCACGACTGGTGAGTCATCCATGAGCAGAAGACCAAGAGCAGGGTTCCCAGGAGGATGCCACACTGCAGGATGGAGAGAAAAGGACACATTTACAAAACCAGACCTTCTCAAGCCTCCATCTCATACATCCATAGCTCTGGGGCTCATGCAGGCCCTCACTGCTCCATCTGTATCATCGATGGGAGGCCCTGACCTCCTGTGGAGGACATCTGAAAACAATGTTTCCCTAAAACAGAAGCAGGAACACTGAGTGTTGTTTTAAAGGGGCTTTGTTAGTCCTAGGTCTCCTGCGTGATACCATCAGCTAGCACCCCACGCTCCCTACAGCACTCACCCCTCACCCGGCATCCTTAGCTACCTTTCTCCGTAGCCCTGTGTGGAAACATGGTCTACAAGGATTAGGAGTCTTGTGTGCCTTCCTTATAAACAGATGCTGACCACGTGATCCTGCGACTACTCTTAGGTCTTTCCCCCAACAGAAATGTCTAAGCACAAACCTATATATTTACAGTGGGTTTGGCCATAACCCCTGGGGTGATATTTCTGTTTATGATATAACAAATAAAGTTTGCCTGAAGATCAGAGTGCAAAGCTAGCCACACTAGTTAGCCATAGAGGCCAGGCAATGGTGGCACACACCTTTAATCCTAGCACTTGGGAGACAGAGGCAGACAGATCTCTTGTTAGTTCAAAGCCACCTTGAGCTACACTGATCCAGTCTATAAGAGAAACAGAACTCACACAAAGGGTCTCAGCACCTGGGATCCCAGGGCTTTAATCCCAGTGCAAAAAGAGAAAAATATAAGGCGGGAAGAGACAGGAGTTCAGGCATTCCGAGGTTTGGTGGGGAGGAGTGCTCGATGTATCACCCCTTCAGTCTGGGCACTGGTGAAGGTGAAAACTCTCTAGTGGTTGGCTACCTTACTTCTCTGATCTTCAGCTTTAACCCCAATATCTGTCTCTGAGTTTTTATTACTTGTGCTACAAACCACCAAGCAAGAAAGCAACACAATGGCCTCCAACAGTGACTAGAAAAAACTGTAGTTCAACCATGCAAAGAGTATTATTCAACACTCAGGTTTAGAACCCCCAACCCTCCAATGGCATGAATGTACCATGCTGTAGGAAAGAAGGGACCATGAAGGTAACACACTGTGTGTTTCCACGTGCATGAGAAAGACTAATAGTGGGGCCAGGCAACATGTCAAACGGCTGAGGGAGAGAGAGTTGTTGATTTCAGAGGAGCAGAGGTGATCTTCTGGGATAACAGATGTCCTGACCACAGTAGCAACACAACTGTATACATATACCAAAACCCAAGGAACCACACTCTAAAACAGGTGCATTTTATTTCAAGAAAACTGCCCCCCCCATAGCTCTGACATTTAAGGCATCAGTGGATTGGGCTAGGCATGAGGGTTAACAATCTTATTCCCAATACTCAAAAGACAAAGGCATGTGAATCTCTGTGGGGGTTCAAGACCATCCTGGTCTACATAGCAAATTCCAGGCCAGCCAGGCCTATATAGTGAGGTCCAGTTACGAGAAAAAAAAAAGGTGGTGGCGCACACCTTTAATCCCAGCACTGGGGAGGCAGAGGCAGGCAATCTCTGTGAGTTTGAGGCCAGCCTGGTCTACAGAGCAAGTGTCTGGTCTACAGAGCAAGTTCCAGCACAGTCAGGGCTACACAGAGATCCACTGCCTCAACATTAATGGTTTGAGGATGTAGCTCCGCAGTAGAATGCTTGCCTTGGATTAGAGCATCAGCTCTACAAAAGACTCTAAAAGATAAAAATAAACAAAACAAAATACTAGCACCACTAGACCAGTTCAATCTGCTACTGAAAGGGGAACTGGGAGGAAGATCATGGGAGCTTCCTGTACTTTCTACTCAGTTGGCCATGAAGCTAAAACTGCTAAAAATAAACAAATATATCAACATAGAAAACAAAACCACACGATAACATCAAACTCGGGGTTGGAGAGACAGCTCAGAGGTTAAGAGCATTGGCTGCTCTTCCAGAGGACCTGAATTCAATTCCCAGCAACCACATGGTGGCTCACAACCATCTGTATTGAGATTCGGTGCCACCCTCTGGCATGTAGGGATACATGCAAACAGAACACCATATACTTAATAAATAAATAAAATCTTTTATTTAAAAAAAAAGGACGTTTACAAAAACAAATATCAAACTCTCACCAGAATGGTTCAAAGGCCCATGACACTGAACACTGCAGAGGACACCTGCGCTAACAGGTTCCCCATGCCCCAGTCCCCTCAGATCCCTAGAGTAGGATCTATCTGTCGTGTGTATCCCAAAGGAACACAGACGTGGTCTACACACAGCATGGGATATCACCCAGAAGCTGATTCCCACCATGACCCCACCTCCTCCAGGTCAAACCAAGCCACGAAGCCCCTGGCACCAAGCCAGCAGTAGGTGGTAGTCTCCTGGTGAGCAGGAGCGCCTGGTAAGCGTGCCAGCATTATAGATTCAATTCCTCAGTGTACCGTAAGGCACTGTATGTGTACGCCATCTTCTACATGCTGAGTTACAATAAGATGTTTCTCTTGTTTAAACTGCCAGAGTCACTGACCAAACTAGCACTACACCCAAAGTTTCTTCGTGGTAATGCCTGCTAAACGTTACACACACCCCAAGACTCTACTGAATCAGGTGGCTCTGCCCCAGGGTCCCTGGAGGAGGCTGACAGGTTTTAGGCACATGCTGTGACTGCTTCCAGTCTGGCTTGCACACTGGGCTCCCTCCCAAGCAGATCTCTAGCAGAGGCCTAGCAACCCGTGCACAGCAATGTTCCGATCTCAATCCCCTGAGCCCAGACACCCATCTTCCCGGGCATCTATAACAGAGCCCAGGGAAGGGTCACACTTGACAGCAAAGATGCCAGGGTTCACTAAGAGATTCAAGCCAGCCAAGACTCCCTGTCCCAGGATGCAGTTCTGCTGACAGGCAAGTTGCCATGGACACCGGGACACGTGGACACTCCAGAAACACCCAGAAGTGACTGACTCAACACTGGGGTTCGCAACACAGATGTCACCCCAAAGGGTCTAGCTCTGTCCTTCCGCCCGCATACATCAACCACTTCGGACCCCCGCACAGGAACCTAGATGCATTCTCAACCAGGATAGTAGGCGGAGGAGCAGAAATTCCCTGATCAAAAAGCTTTTTTTTTCTATTTTACCCAGCAGCTGTGAAATATAAAACATGCAAGGTGGTTTTCAATCTACTGCTAAATTATCAACAGCCCACTTTCACCTCCAAACGTCTGTTACAGATTGATTTCCCACCTCACCTCTTGGGTGTCAACGGGCAGACGCCTTTGCCCTGAGGCCCCACTGTCTCAACAGCAAACGTGGCATGAACCAGTGAGCGGCTAAGGGACAGGAAAGCAGCCTTCGCTTCCTTCGTTTAACAGTCATTACCCAATTTGATGTTTCCATCGGCTTCCGCAGCTCGCTGGTACATCCAACAGAGCCACGTAGATGACGGCCATCTTTCCTTCACATGGCATCTTCTCGACGTTGGAAGGACATCAAACTTGTGTGTGTGTGTGTGTGTGTGTGTGTGTGTGTGTGTGTGTGTGTGTGTATGCCTGTTGTTTTTTTGTTTGTTTTTCCCAACCGGGGTGGTGTTAACGCGCAGACCGGACCCAACGTCACAAAGTTTTTGTGCAACCCCAGCTCTTAGAAGTAAAAACCTAGAGAACGCCTTAAATCACCTTCATGAAGCCCCTGCTGGAAAGCCGGAGCTGAGCCGTGCAGTAACAACAGCACGAACAACAACAACAACAAAACTACTATCAATCCGCTCGTTTCTCTTGCCCTGCGCCCTTCCGTGGGGGTGTTTTGTTCGTGGGCACACACGGAGCGCGCAGATTCCGACGACCACGGGCTGCCAGGACAGGACGCTGCCCGGGAGCCTCTTGCCTGCCGGCCCGGGCTCGCACACCCTTCCCACCAGCCGGACGCTTGACACGGACGCTCCCCGCGCCCCTCGACTCACCTGCTTGAAGCAGAAAGGCATGGTGAGGACGCTGACCCCCACGATGCTGTTGACGACGTTCGTGACCAGCCCCCATTTGGAGGTGGAGGCGGCGGTCATTTTTTGAGGGTCTTGGGGGGGCCGGGACGGCGCGACCCTAGCTAAAACCCTAAACCTCCGGAGCGAGGAGGAGCCCCGCGGACAGGAGTCGCCGAGTTCAGCCTCCAGACCCCGCCGGGCTACGCAGCTGCCTCACAGCCATGGTTCCCGGTTCCCGCCTCCAACCTCGCGCGAGCGCAGCGGAGAGAGACCCGGAAGAGCCGCAGGCAGCGCCAGCAGCAGTAAGCGACACCTCAGCTCCGCTCCACTGCCTCCGGGACCCAAACTTCCGCCTTCCAAGGCGTACGGAAGCCAGGAAGTGACGGTGTCAGGGGGCGGGACGGGGCGGGACGCCAGCCAACAAGGAGCGGGTGGGTCTGTACGGAGGGGGCGTGGCTTGGGTGGGAGCCCTGAGGCGGGGCGAGGAGGAACCCTAGCCAATAAGAGGTATGCGGGGGCGGGGCGGGGCGGAGGGAAGCTGTAGGTGGGGTCGGAAGCGGGACGGGGTTCCACACGTCTGTGTTCCGGGTTCCACGCTCGGCTCGTGAACTCTTCGGCTCCTTCCCCGGAGCCTGGGCCCGCCGGAGGACGTGTGACTTTCCGGGTACAGCCACTAGCTGGGAGGACAGGAGAGAAACGGGTGAGAAGTGGGATCTTGAGGGTAGGTTCTGCGAACGAATCTCCGGGACCCCTTAGAGGTTCAGAGACTCCGCCAAAGTCAAGACAGCTGGGTACCCAAAGCAGCAGGAAGAAATAATCTACTCCCTTGATTAATACGGTGATAATTGCCCCTGGGGAGTGGAAGGTCGAACACATGAGCGGATTGTTGGCACCTGTCAGTGACTGTGGCGAACGAACGCCCGGGGGACCTGAGGTCTGAGAAAGACCCCACCTTGATCCTGATTCCGTGCATGCGAGGAGGAACTGCAAGCCGCTTCAAGAGGCCATCCTAGAAAACAAGCTTGAGGCTCTTCTTGCAAGAGCATGCATCTCAGGCCAGGAGCAAATTCTTCAAGCTTCAGGCAAAGCAGCCTCTGGGTGCACAGCTGTGCTCCCCTCAGATGGGAGAGGATAAACAGGAAAAACCAAGGTAAAGAGTAATTGACTACAAATAAATGTCTGCACTCATTGTTTGTAAGTGAACAAAGGCTGTTGTACTCGTCTCCTTAATGTGTGGATGTTGGAGTTTGTCTCAGGTAACCGCCTAGAAGCAGAACTGCAGTTTTCGTGCCTCCGACCTGACTCAGTCTTGCCCAGCTGCTCTTCAAAATCACTAGAAGGCTCCTGACTGACATCAAAAGAGGTCAGACTTCTGTTAGGAGTTGGGTAGGCACTACCTGTCTTCCTCGGTAGCCCGGGAGCAGAGAGGGTGCTTGCCCTGCATGCTCTCTGTCTGAGGTTTGATCCCAGCTCTACAATTAAGTTCAACACTGAAATGGACGGCCTCGTGAATGGCCGCCTCAGGAATGGCCTCCTCGGGAGAGTCGTATGCCTCTCAGACGTTACAGTCTGTCACAACTCTTCAGTGCTCTCCATTGCAGCTCAGACACTACCATGAGTAACGTGTGAACAAGTGGGTGGGTATTCCAATAAAACTTTATTTATAAAAACAAGAGCTTGCTCAACCTGGCCTAAGGGCTCCCAGCTGTATATTGTCCCCAACATTTGTCATCATCACTTTGGCCAGTCGGATGAATCAAACAAGAGTCCTGGTGGGCTTTGAGTCTCTCCTTTCTAATCATGAATGAGGTTAATCATCTATTCGTAATTTTGCCATCCATTCATTGTTTTTGGTGAAAAGCATGCTTTTTTTTTCCTTTTTAGCAATTTGTTCTCTGGAATTTTGAGTTCTTTTTGTGTGCCTGATAACTAACCCCCCTGTGGCCCTCTGTTTCTGTCTGTCTGCTGTCTCCCAACATCACATTAGGTTTTCATTGTTGCTGCAACAAAGCATCACAAATTCACTAACTGGGGGGCTGGGGAGATGGGCTCAGTGAGTAAAAGCACTTGCCTCTGGTTAGAGGACCAGAGTTTGGATCCCTGGGCTCTGCCTGTAATCCCAACCCTCTGGCAACAGAGACAGGAGATCCCCAGAACAAGATAGCTTGTTAGAATAACCAAACCAGAAAACTCTGGGTTCAACTAAGGCTGTCACTCACCATAAAAAGCAAAGAGAAGGAAGACAGCTGATATTAACCACTGGCATGTGTGCACACACCCTCAACACAAGCGTGCCCACACACATGTGAATATGAGCACACACGTACCATTTCAGCAACTGGTTGCAAGGTTCACCTGTCGGCACTGGAAGTCAGGAATCACCAAACTAAAACCAAAGTGTTGGTGTGATTCATCCCCTCAAACTCAGGTGAGGGCCTGGTTCCTGCTCTTTTGGCTGTTGGCAGAGCTCGGCTCCTTGGTGTTTTGGCCCATTTTCTTTTTGCTGGCTGAAAGCTGAAGGTAGTTTCCAGCTTCCCTATCACAGGGTCCCTACCTCAATCTTCCAAGTTAGCAGCAAAGGGAGAGAGACAAATCAAGTCTCTTATGTGACATCTTAGGCTCCAGATCTGGGAACAGTTTTCTGGTTTCAGGGCCTCTTGCAATCATCAGATGATCCAAGAGAATCTGCCTCCAGAGCCTAGCACCTCAAGTCCTGCATGCAAAGGTTCTGTGGGCGTGCTGTCACAGGCTCTGGGGATTGAAGGGTTCATATTTTCCAGGGGCTCTTCTCCTATAAATGCCCTCATGATATGATTTGGGTTGTGACCTTTTCATGGAGGGTGCTGAGTTTTGTTGACAGGCCCCTTGTCCGTAGGGCTCATCCCAGGCTTCCTACCCTCCAGTCTGTAAGGGCCTAGCATTGATATGGAGCCTCTTCCTGCACCTCCAGATTCACACACTGGAGTCTTTGCTGCCTCAGAGCACAACCTTCTTTGGAACTTGGCTCTTCGGAGATGTCATTAGTTAGAATGAGGTCGCAGGCAGATCGGTGGTGGAGCACACCTTTAATCCCAGCACTCAGGAGGCAGAGGCAGGCAGATCTCTGTGAGTTCCAGGCCGGGCTGGTCCGACAGCCTCCAAAACAATACAGAGAAACCCTGTCTCGTAAAAACCAAAAAAAAAAAAAAAAGAAAAAATGAATGAGTTCGCAGGGTCACTCTGAATTAAGGCATTTGGTATCTGCAGTGTCACTTGGTATCTTAATAAAAACGAGAGGCTCAGGGACTGGGCAATAATCGGGTAGTAGATAAGTATTTGCTTTGCAAGCATGGGGACCTGAGTTCAATCCCTAGCATCATTCTAAAAAAGTTACTGGAGTGCAGGGATTGCATGTGCTTGTAACTCCAGTAGCAGGGAGGCAGAGAGAAGATCCCTGGAGATTCACATCAGTGAGCTTACAGGTTCAGCGAGAGCCCCTGTTGGGGGGAAAGTTCGTTCACACTGTGAACCCCGAGTTTGCATTTGTATTAATTAAATAAAATTAACCTTGAGTCAGGAGGCTGAGTGGGCAATTAGTTGACAGAAAGTTATCACAGAGCTTCAGAGGGCTTCCAGGAGAGAGAGAGAGAGAGAGAGAGAGAGAGAGAGAGAGAGAGAGAGAGAGAGAGAGAGAAAGTAGTAGGGAGGGATTTAGAGCGTTTGCTAGCTGCTACTTAGCCCTCTGAGCTCTCAGGTTTTCAACCCAGCCTTTTAACCCTGAGTCTTATTTGTAATTAGAATGACAGGGACTCAGTTAAAGCTACGTTTATCGGCAGTGACAGGGCCATTGCCTTCTGGAACAGAATTCCCACCAGGCTGCGGCCTGAGCAGCCAGGCCATTGCTAGAGAAGCAGGCAGGTAACTTCGGAGTTGCCATCGCCGGCTGAAATGGCAGTAGATTGTGGTGCAGCTGCTGTGCCAAAGTTAAAACAAGACAAGATCCTACCTGGAAAACAAGGTATGGCTGGAGAGATGGCTCAGAGGTTAAGAGCAGCACTGATCACTCTTCCAGAGGACCCAGGTTCGATTCCCAACACCCACATGGCAATCCAACAACTATCTGTAGCAGCAGCACAAACCCTCTGTGGCCTCTGCACTGCAGACACGTGGTATCTGCAGACTCATATAGGAAAAACACCCAGAAGCAAAGTTAAAATTTTTATTTTGTTTTAAAGGTGGATGGTTTCTGAGGAATGACACTTAAAGCTAACTCTGATGTCCACACACACACTGAATGAATGAGACGAATAAGTAAATAAATATAATAGGGGCTGGGTCGATGGTTTAACAGGTAAGAGCAAGTGTTACCTAAGCATGAGGACCAGAGTTCAGATCCTCAGTACACATACAGAGCCAAGCATGGCTGTCTTGGAGTCCCAGCTCACACGCATGGCTCCCACAGCCTCAGCATCTGTCACAGCCCCTCCTATTATGTCACCTGACCACCGTGTTGTCCCTCCCACTCCTCCTAAGACCTCTTGTGCATTCACGTGATGTGGGACGTCCTTCTGTTTGCTGAGAATGTGTTGTTTTCATTGGTTGATGAATAAAGCTGTTTTTGATCAGTGGCCAGGGAGAATATAACTAGAGTTATGGAGAGAAAGAAGGTGGAGTAAGGCCAGATGGTGGTGGCACGCGTCTTTAATCCCAGTACTCGGGAGGCAGAGGTGGGCAGATCTCTGTGAGTTTGAGGCCATCCTGGGCTACAGTGAGTTCCAGGATAGGCTCCAAAGCTACACAGAGAAACCCTGTCTTGAAAAACAAAACAAAACAAAACAAAAAAGGCAGAGTCAGGGAGACATCATGTAGCCACAGAAGGAGTAACATTGTAACATTCCAGAGCAATGGAGACATCATGTAGCCACAGAAGGAGTAACATTGTAACATTCCGGAGCAATGCCGATAAGCCACAGCCTCGTGGCAATACACAGATTAATAGGAATGGGTTAATTTTTCAGAGGGAGCTAGCCAGCAATATGTGGGAGCCACTGGCCAAACCATTGCAATTGATATTAAGCCTCAGAGTTTATTTCATAAGTGGCTGTGGGAACTAACGGGCAGAGCAGAAAGAATCCAACTACACCCATCCCTTCCCCAACTTGACTTTATCCCCAACACAACTTAGACCACTTAGACCACCTGGCTGCAAAACCAGTTGACACTCTTTTTTTTTTTTTAAGCAACTGCAGCTTTTTTTTGTAGATTTATTTATTATGTATACAGTGTTTTACCTGTATGTGTTCATGTATTCCTGCAGGCCAGGAGAGGGCATCAGATCTCATTACAGATGGTTGGGAGCCACCATGTGGTTGCTGGGAATCGAACTCAGAACCTCTACTCTCCAGCCCCAGCTGACACTCTTAATGGAGCCAAGTTCACAACACCCACACGAAGCGAGAGGCAAGCACTTGCCGGGAGAGAGCCCTAAGTGTGAGTGAGACCTGGGGACCTGAAGGCTGGGAGAGGCCTTCCCCTGCAGATTCTGGGGGACCTCGGCATTAGACCGTGGCTTCTTAGACAAGAAAGGAATAAGCTTGTCAGCCCCGGGCTCCTACCCTGAGCAGCATCAGGACACAGGTGCAAGATAGAAAGGGTCTTGTCAGGAGGAGAAGGGCAAGTGTCATCTGCATCGTGACTCCCAGGAATGCCCCATTGATTAGATGGAAGGGAGAGAGGGCAGCCAGGCAGAAGGACAGGCATAGTCCTGTGACTAAGACCTGACCCATAGAACCAGAAAGGTAAAAGGTGGGCTTCAGTGAAGACTGGTCAGCTACCCTTGACTCTGCCTCCACTCCTCGTTCTTGCTGCCTGGAGAGCAGATGTAATGTCTGGAGTTCTCACAGCCCCTGTGGAATCACCTTTTGACTTCATTGTCATTGCTACCCCCTCACCCAGAAGCAATGGGGAGACGTGGCTGTTCCAAATTCAGAGTCCACGACCACTTCTGTGATGCTGTCTCTTGGTCTGGGCTGTCCTTGCTATCGTATACACTTTGGATCTTAAATGACCCCACAAAGGTCCATCTCTATATTGAAGGTCACGTGTGTTGATATGATGGGGGGGAAGTCCTTCTGTGTAAATGTTGTCTCATTGGTTGATAAATAAAACACTGTTGGCCAATAGGGAAGCAAGATAGGTGGGACTAGGAGTCGGGGAGGATTCTGAGAAATGTAGTCAAGGGTAGAGAGCAGCCATGTGATCCTAGGAAGAGGGGATGCATGAGGCTGCGTCCTCGGTAAGAGAAGATCTTATAAATATTATATATATTAGTGTAGAGAGAAGCCTTCCCACCAGCCTGGTCCCAGAGCTGCATCAATCCCAAATGAACACACAGGACACTATATTAAACAGGCTTTGCTTGTTTCTTACTGGTTAGCTCTGACTTAAGTATTTGCTCCATAATTGTTAATCTAAGTATTTCTCTTACCGGAGAAAAGGGTCCGGACTTCTTACCCCGATGGCAGCTACATGATGACTCCCTGTGTTTCTCTTTCCCAGAATCCTGCTGACTCCTAGTCCCACCTATCTTACTTCCCTATTGGCCAACAGTGCTTTAGAGACAGATTTATAGAATGGCATCTCCCATCATATTAGTAGTTATGGGTTAATAATTAAGTCAGACCTAGCCACTAAG